ATGGAACGTCTTGCCATATTACACTGAGCCAATTCGGCCACAGCATTAGCCATGGCGGTGGCTGTTGACATACCTGTTAAACCCAAATAATTACAAAATTCATGTTGCTGATGATAGACACCGTCGACTTCATTTTCATCCTGATTATCAGTAGATAATTTCTCCTCCTCCTCCTTCACCTCCTCAATTTTTATTTTATTTTCCATTTTATTTTTCTCTTCCGGGCTGCATTTCAATTGAGATTCTAATGACAAGTCCAAAGGTATTGGGGTTTTAAAATCTTCCTCCACCACAATGTCATTGGGATTTGTGGTGTATTTTGATGGCAAGATGGGAGTTTTAAATAATTGTTGACCATTTTTGGGTTCCTTTGCCTTTAAAGTGGTCTCACAATTGTTTTCTTCCTTTATGCCATCTTCAGGATTTTGCGGTGTTTTCTTATCAATTTCCCTATTAAGCCGGTTTAAACGAAAAAACGAATCAATTTTTTCACTGGACGCTAATGAACCTAATTTTTTCGTTTCTTTTGTGGGATGCGGCCGCGGGACATTGTTAGGCGGCAAGGGCCCCGGTGGTCCTTTTATCAATTGCATATGTGTAGGTACATCTTGGCTATTTGCTTCTTCAGAACTACTGGGGCACAATAGTTTTTCATGGATGTGCACTTGTCCGGGGGCTCCACCAATTCCTCCTCCACCACCACCACCTCCGCCTCCTCCTCCTGCACCTCCAATACCTCCTTTGGGAAAACGTTTATGCCCGGTGGCTGGCAATTTTTTGGAGTTTTGAAAACAATCATTATCCGATGAGGAGGTGGCCGGTGGTGAGGTTGAATTTTGATTCCGTTTATTCAACGAATCTTTGACAAACCGCTGAGACTTTTTCCCCTCCAACATATCTTGATTTGTGGCCACATTTGTGGGCTTACAACGTCTTTGTTGCAGCTGTTGCTGAGCCACTGCCGAGGTGGTTGGACGCTCATCAGCAGCAGCATGTTTAGGAATTTTTTGATTTGACTCACTGCTGCTGCTACTGCCACTCGATACGCTAGTGGCTGTTGTTTCATCTTGATGTTTCAGTGAGGAAAGCCCAGCTTCCCTGCCACCACCTCCTGCACCCAGACGTTTATTTTTCTGAGCCAAATTCATATTGTCAATAATCATTTGACGAAAGATGCCAAAATCATATTGTTTGCCGGCAGTTTGTTTTTTATTTTTCTGTTTTGTCAGCTCCAAGCGACGTTGTTCCTCCAAACGCTTGAACTCCTCATCGAAGAGAGCAACATCTTCCACATCACTGTAGTCGTCTTCACAACACCAACCTTGAATTTTCTCGGCCAATGTCATCTGCGGGTTGCAGGCGGTAATCATGGCCAATTGGCGTTCAAAGGAATCGGCTGGCAGCGTGTTTTTCAACAATGGTGGCCTCGGTGGATATTTACCACCCGGTCCACGGGTTTGTTGGGGATTTGAGGGGGAGCTAACGGGAAATTCACTGGTCGATTCGGTTGAACATTTATTCGGTTGGGTTGCGAGGGCTCCAGTTGCGCCTTTATAATTTTGCCTTTGATTGAAATTCAATTGAAATTTTGTATTGATTTGTTGACGCTTTTGTTTCTGCGACACTGTTGTGGAATCCGAATTGATTTCAACAATTTGATCTGGTGGTGTTTTCAGATTTGAGGGTGATATGGCTGGAATGGGAAAGAAGAAAAAGGGTTAGTTAAAGCAAGCTTTGATTTTTTAAATAATTTTTTCAGGGCCTTTCTAAGGCTTAGATTTTTTAAATTTTTTTTTTTTTTTTTTTTTTTTGGTTTTTAAAATCATTTTTTTGATGATCTATCTAAGGCGTAGTTTTTTAAAATAAGGCCCTAGCAAGGAATTAGTTTCTTTCTAAGGCTTAGATTTTTTAAATAATTTTTTTAGATCTATCTAAGGTGTAGATTTTTTAAATAATACCCTAGCAAGGTGTATATATTTTTAAGTATTTTTTACTCACCATCTCCCGATAGCCGATCATTTTGACGCCTTTTACGTTTACTTGGCGTGTGTGGATTGTAATCAATTTCATGTGAATTATCCGATTTCTTTTTCGGGGTCTGTTCCAATTTAGATTTCAACATAATTTGACCATCAATCTCCTCAATATCTTCATCATCAACTTCAATGGCTTCAACACAACCCTCCGAATCTTCAAGATATGGATGTGCCGCTTCAGCGGAAAAATGACGTTTTAAATTGTCACGTCCAGTAGTTCCACAGACAATATCAATTTCATGTTTTGTATCACTATCGATGCGGGCTATAGCTGTTTCCTCCTCATCGAAACCTTTAAAATCTTCCATATCATCGGAACATAAATCAACTTCTTCCTGACATAACTGTTGGATAACTGGACGACATGATGATGGTGCTGGTACTTCATCACTTGAAGATATTGTGTGAATATGGGGATGCTGTTGTTGAACTTCGGGACTGGTAGTGTGACCACCACCACCACCATCTTCATCGCTTGTCTGTTGCAAACTATCCTGTGTAACATTTTCTATGGGACTGTGGCTAGTGGTGGCCTCAGGCATTGTTAGTGTTGCATTATTGGATGGTAACTGATGATGCAGATGACTTTGTGGCAAATCCTGTTGCTGCTGGTGGTAATGTGTTGCAATCGTAGGTGGCGTTGTGGGGGTTATGTAGTCACTACAATTTTCATCTATGGGTGCCGTGGACGAGGAATAGACAAATTCATTTGCCAGCATACGAGGCATTTCTGAAATAATCACAAACAATTTATTTTTAATTTCTTATTTTTGTCCCCAAAAACCACAATTCTTATCACAATTATTTTACCTCTAAATCAGTATCACTGATGTCTCTTCCAGCTTGTTGTACTTCTTGGGGTATCTCTTGTTGTAGTTTGGTGGTGGCGCCTTTTTTCCTTATAATCCAATAAACCTTTAAAATGTTGTTTCTTATCGCTCAGTTTTGTCGCAAACGATTTCCAAACACAATTTGTATAATTTCTAATTAAAAATTTCCTTTAAACTCCTAATTTTTTATATTTTTTTGTGATTTTTTCTGATTTGTTTCGTATTTTGCCACAGAAAATTGTTGTAAAAACTAGGGATAACTAGATCGACTAATCGATTAATCGATTTTAAGTCTAAAAGTCGACTTTTGATCATTGAGAGAATCGCAAAGTCGACTTTCGATTCTCTTTATAAATACTTGATTTATTATCACAAAGCCCATAAATTACACATTCCAGAACTTTAAGCGAAATGTGTTATTGCCGTTTCCATTGAACTTATTGTTGGATGGAGAATACATGAGAATCGCATTGTTGACACACACGGACACTGCCCGTGTGAACGCCTCAGTGTTGAGTTTAGGGATAACTAGATCGACTAATCGACTGTGGTTGCTAAACAACAACGTAATAATGGCGTTAGCAAAAAGCGTCAATGAGACTTGTTTTTCATTATTGTAGGGGACTTTTTAAAAGAAGAAGATGAGAATTAAAAAAAAAATATCTTTCAAGGACAGCCGGCATTCTTTAAATATATTTTTAAGGGCGACAAAGGTTGGTTTTAAAATAATATTTTTGTGGACTACCACAAAGTTTGGATTTTAAAAATATATATTTTCCCAATTTTTTTTTAGCTGTGGATTTTTTAAGAATATTTTTAAAGGCCTATCTGAGATGTGAATTTTTTAAGGCGTAGATTTTTAAAAATGTTTGTTTCAAAGGCTGGATAAGGCGTGGATTTTTTAAAATATTTTTTCAAAGGCTGGATAAAGCTCGGATTTTTAAAAAATATTTTTTTTAAGTCTGTCCAGGACCCGGACTTTTTAGAATATTTTTTAAAAGGCTGAATTATGGAGTTTTTATGAATATTATTTTAAAGGCTAAAATGTTCTTAAAAATCTCTGCCCCTGGCTTGAAGCGTAGATTTTTTAAACGAACAACTTTTCACGGGCTATGTGAACACTAAATTTTTTTTAACAAAAAATTTTCATGAATGATTTTTAAATATTTTTTAAGGTGTACTATCGGTGTAGATATTTTAAACATTTTCAAGGGCTACTACAGTCGTAGATTTTTTAAAAAAGTGTTCTTTAAAAACATTTTTCAAGGACTAATACCCTCGTAGATTAAAAAAAAAACATTTTTTAAAGGTTATCAGAGGAGTGGATTTTGAGTGGAGGAGTGGATTAAAAAACAAAATTTCAATTGCTGTAGAAAATTTAAAAAGATATTTTTAATTGCTATTACTAGAGAGATTTTAAATAATTTTTAAGGGCTGAGTCAAGGACTACTACTGGATAGGATTTAATAAAGTATTTTTAAGGGCTACAACATAAGTGGATTTTTAAAAATGTATATTTATTAAAGGCCACTACAGGAATATATTTTGAAATTTTTTTTTAAGCCTACTACAAGTGTGCATTTTTTAAATTTTAATTAAAGAAGTTTTTTTAAGGGCTACTACATGATTAAAGGACAACTATTGGAAAGGATTTAATGAAGTATTTTTAAGGCCTACTATAAAATATATTTTTAAAAATATATATTTTTTTTTTTTAATCAACTACAGAAGTGTCTTTTTAATTTTGTTTCAAGTCAACTACAGTGTATTTTTTCTCTTCCATTTTTGTACTTCTTGGGGTATCTCTTGGCTACTACAGGAGTGAATTTTGATTTTTTTTAAAGTCAACTGCAGATGTGTATTTTTTATTTCTGTTGAGGGCAACTAATGAAGTGGATTTTAAAAAAATATATATTATCAAGAGCTACTACTTGAAGGATTTCTACAAAACAAGTTTAAAATATTTAATTCATAACAAACTTGCGAATCAGATTCTTTCGAAATTTTCCATTTATTTTATATATGTAAACTTCATAGTTTTTTACAATGACATTACAATATATATTTTCTTTAGCAAACTACTACTTAATGAGTATACAAATAATTTATTTGAAATAAATTCCTTAAATCCTTCTCCACACGCTTCAGCCTTTAATAACAGCAATGGGTCTTAATTTAATACATTTCTTACTAATACCGGCAGCATGACAGGTATCCACAACATCTGTTACATCTTTGTATGATTCCGGAGCTTCTTCCATTACCAATTTGGGTGAGGCCACACGAATGGCAATACCCAAATCTTCCAACTTTTCCAAAACATCTTTATAATCGAGATTACGTCTTGATTTGGCACGAGACAAGGCACGACCGGCACCATGGCATGTGGAACCGAATGTCTCTTGCATACCTTTTTCGGTACCAGTTAAGACATAGGAACATGTGCCCATAGTACCACCAACCAAAACGGGTTGGCCGGTTAGCTGATAATCCACTGGAATGAGAGGATGATGGGGAGGGAAAGCACGTGTGGAACCTTTACGATGTACCAACAATTTCTTTTCCTTGCCATCGACAATGTGATTTTCAATTTTCGCGATGTTGTGTGAGACATCATAGATAACATGCATATCCAAATCATCGGGCGTTGTCTGGAATTGTTTGGCAAAGGCTTGGCGGGTTAAGAATGTCATCGAACTGCGATTGACCCAGGCAAAATTGGCTGCAGCAGCCATGGCTTTGAGATAATCTTGACCTTCCTGGGAGTTGATACGAGCACAGGCCAGCTGGCGATCATTGGTTAGGATGTTGTCTCTCTTCATGGCTTTTTCCATTTGCACCAAAGCATCGGTGGCAACTTGATGACCAAAACCACGAGATCCAGAATGGATCATAACACACACTTGGCCCTTTTCTTCAATACCCATTTTGGAGGCACTCCATTTATCATAGATTTCATCGACAATTTGTATTTCGGCGTAGTGATTACCAGCACCAAGGGTTCCCAGTTGGGGTAGACCACGTTTCTTGGCTCTTAAACTGACCTTGGAGGGATCGGCATTTAACATGCGACCATATTCCTCACAATGTTCCTTATCTTCAGCCCAAACGTATCCCTCACGTAAACTCCAATCCATACCCATTTCCAGAGCTTCCTCCAAATCATGAGCATTCATGGGTATAATACCCTTGGAGCCGACACCAACAGGAATGTGATCAAATAAACTTTGAGCCAATTGTTCCTTCACCGGTTGGACATCCTTTTCAAAGAGATTCGTTCTCAGTAAACGCACACCACAATTGATATCGAAGCCGACACCACCAGGGCTAACAATGGAATTGGGATCATCCATATCAAAAGCAGCCATATTACCAATGGCAAAACCATAACCGGAATGAATATCAGGCAGACCAATCGAACGTCCCACAATACCAGGCAGGGCAGCAACATTTGCAATTTGCTTAACGCCAGGTAAAAAACCACCAACCGCTCCCGGACGACAGGAATTTTTCAACTCTTCCAACATCAACTTTTCCAGCCGATCATTGACATAGAAACAGCCTTCCACATTCATATTGGGTTGGAATCCCTTCTTAATACGCCAACAGCAATCGCTAACCTTTTCCAGGTATTTCAGCTCTTCAACGTAGGGTCGCACCACCATTTTGTATAATTTCACTGATTAAAATTCTCAATTTGCAGATTTATTTTGCAAAAAATCACAATATTTTCTAGAATTTCAACCAATAGCGAAGATGCCGGCGTTCAATGTGAAGTATATACATATATACACGGGCATATGTTGTCATTTGCTGAGGGGATATAACAGGGTGTTTCAGATGTAATTGTCAAGCGAGATATTACTGGGTGAACAGAGTTTTGCCAATTAGTTTTTTGCATATAACAGCTGATTGTGAGTGGGGGTTGGGAAGAAAATATTTTAAATTGAATTTCAGCGAAATTTTTGAGTATTTCTAATTAAACATCAGAGATATAGGCGTGGATTTTATAAACAATATTTCTAATCAAATATCAGAGATATAGGCGTGGATTTTTTAAACAATATTTCTAATCAAATATCAGAGATATAGGCGTGGATTTTTTAAACAATATTTCTAATCAAATATCAGAGATATAGGCGAGGATTTTTTAAACAATATTTCTAATCAAATATCAGAGATATAGGCGTGGATTTTTTAAACAATATTTCTAATCAAATATCAGAGATATAGGCGTGGATTTTTTAAACAATATTTCTAATCAAATATCAGAGATATAGGCGTGGATTTTTTAAACAATATTTCTAATCAAATATCAGAGATATAGGCGTGGATTTTTTAAACAATATTTCTAATCAAATATCAGAGATATAGGCGTGGATTTTTTAAACAATATTTCTAATCAAATATCAGAGATATAGGCGTGGATTTTTTTTAACTATATTTATAATCAAATATCGGAGATATAGGCGTGGCTTTTTAAACAACATTTTTAATCAAATATCAGAGATGTAGGCGTGGATTTTTTAAACAATATTTCTAATCAAATATCAGAGATATAGGCGTGGATTTTTTTTAACTATATTTCTAATCAAATATCAGAGATATATGACAATAAAAGGCGTGAACTTTTAAAAATATATCTGTATATATTTTATTGGTCATAAGAGAGCTTTGGTAATACTATAAATTGGCCTTGAAGGCTTTAATATTATTTAATGGTATAAAAATAAATAAATCTGTACAATTTTTACAATAGGTTATCATTTAGCAATCTACAACATATTGAGTCCTCCTCTTCAGCCTTTAATAACAGCCAGGGGTCTCAGTTTAATACATTTCTTACTAATACCGGCGGCATGACAGGTATCCACAACATCTGTTACATCTTTATAAGCCTCTGGAGCCTCTTCCATTACCAATTTGGGTGTGGCCACACGAATGGCAATACCCAATTCCTCCAGTTTTCCCAAAACTTCTTTATAATCGAGATTTCGTCTTGATTTGGCACGAGACAGAGCACGACCGGCGCCATGGCAAGTCGAACCGAATGTCTCTTGCATACCTTTTTCGGTACCAGTTAAGACATAGGAACAGGTGCCCATAGTACCACCCACCAAGACGGGTTGGCCCGTCTCCTGATAATCCACAGGAATGAGAGGGTGATGGGGTGCGAAAGCACGTGTGGCACCCTTACGATGTACCAACAATCTCTTTTCCTTGCCATCGACAATGTGATTTTCAATTTTGGCAATATTGTGTGAGACATCATAGATAACATGCATTTCCAGATCATCGGGTGTGCTTTGAAATTGTTTGGCAAAGGCTTGGCGAGTTAGGTATGTCATGGCACTACGATTAACCCAAGCAAAATTGGCTGCAGCAGCCATAGCTTGGAGGTAATCTTGACCTTCCTGGGAGTTGATACGAGCACAGGCTAGCTGGCGATCATTTGTTTGGATGTTATCCCTCTTCATTGCTTTTTCCATTTCCGCCAGAGCATCAGTGGCGACTTGATGACCAAATCCTCTAGATCCAGAATGAATCATAATACACACCTGGCCCTTCTCCTCAATACCCATTTTGGAGGCACTAAATTTATCATAGATCTCATCGACAATTTGTATTTCTGCATAATGGTTACCAGCACCCAATGTTCCCAGTTGGGGTAGACCACGCTTTTTGGCTCTCAAACTGACCTTGGAGGGATCGGCATTTAACATGCGACCATTTTCCTCACAATGTTTCTTATCTTCAGCCCATGCATAACCTTTATCCAAACTCCAATCCATACCCTTTTCCAAAGCCTGCTCCAAATCTTCGGCATTCATGGGCAATATACCCTTAGAACCCACACCCACAGGAATGTGATCAAATAAACTTTGAGCCAATTGTTCCTTCACCGGCTGGACATCTTTTTCGAAGAGATTTGTTCTCAGTAAACGCACACCACAATTGATATCGAAACCGACACCACCAGGACTAACAATTGCATTAGGGTCATCCATATCGAAAGCAGCCATATTACCAATGGCAAAACCATAACCGGAATGAATATCAGGCAGGCCTATCGAACGTCCCACAATACCAGGCAAAGCAGCCACATTTGCTATTTGCTTAACGCCAGGCAAAAACCCGCCTGTAGCATCGGGAAGGCAGGCATTCTCCAACTCTTCAAACATCAGCTTTTCCAACCGTTCATTGACATAGAAGCAACCTTCCACATTCATATTGGGTTGGAATCCCTTCTTAATACGCCAGCAGCAATCACTGACCTTTTCCAAATATTTCAGCTCCTCTTCGTAGGGTCGAACCACCATTTTGTATAATTTCACTTAAACTGAAGTGTTTAGTTTTTTATCTGTGGTTTTATTTGTCATGATTTCACAACATTTCCATGGAATTGCATGTAAATACGTAAATACCGGTATAGAATGTGAAATTCAAATACATTTGTTATTATTTGGTGGTGATATAACAGGGTGATTCACATTAAATTATTAATTGATACATTACTGGGTGAAACAGCGTTGCCAATTGGTTTTGTGTGTACAGTCAACAGCTGATAACGTGGGAAGGTTTTCAATATACATTTTTAATGATTTTTCTGAGTAAATTTGATAACATTTCAGAGTTTTAAGGTTGTTTATTTAAAGAATATTTTATTTTTATTAAATATCAGAGTTTAATGCATTTTGGCAGGCATTGTATGGCACAAATTGGTGGTATATAACAGGGCGATTCAGATTAAATTATTAAATGATACATTACAGGGTGAAACAGTGTTGCCAATTGGTTTTCTGTGTACAGTCAAAAGCTGATAATGAGGGGGGTTTTTTAATTTATAGTTTTAATGACATATCTGAGTATGTTTTAAATAATACTTTTAATAAAACATCAGTGTTCTAGGGATGGATATTTTAAAGAATATATTTTTTTTATTAAATATCAGATTTATTGGCGTTTTGTAGGCATTGTATGATACAATGTGAAATACATAGAAATATGCTGTTACTGGGTTGTGATAAAACATGGTGATTCATGGTGGAATTGACAAATGAAACATTACTGGGTGAATCGAGTTGCCAACTGGAAGATGGGTTTAAAGAAAATATTTTTATTAAAATTTCAGTGATTTTTTAACGAAATATTTATTATATGGGAGTGAATTTTGTAAACAATAGTTTCAATCAAATATCAGAGCTAATTGCCTGGATATTTTATGAATATATATAATCCAATATAAATATATATTCGGGTTATTCACTTGTGTTGCCATTTCGTGCATGTTTTAAAGTGACGCCTAAAAATATGTTTTATTTTATAACCATTTCTCAATTTTACAACGACATTAATGCGGAGATATGGCAGCATTGTTGCGCGTGTCATTTTGCTTCTTTGGAGAAATCTAAAAAATTGCTGTTTCAATCATTTTGTGGTATCAGGCACCCAGAACTGCGTAGCAGTTATATTTTGGGACAAGGTAAATTTAAAATGGCTATTACTCAGCAATGGCGGCATGGATTTTGGTGAAAATTTCTTTAGGTTTTAGCGGAAAATGCAGAGTATTTTATTGAGTGGTCATTTCGGCCTATAGAACCCAAATTAATATAAATTTTTAGGAGTTTTTAACAAGATCTTGAATGTCTTAAAATTGACTGAATTTTATCCGATTTTTTAAAAACTTTGAAGAAGTGTGTGGACCAGATTATGGAATTGTGGAAATCAAGTGATTACTTTGATTAGGTACAGATGATTATGAAGAAAAGAAAATATAAAATAAAAATATACAAAAATCCATGCTCATATATGGAAGGCCCGTAGAAAATAAATTTAAAAGTAATCCATACCTATTTATAATTTCTTGGTCCTTTAAAAACTATTTTTAAAAATCTACGTTTAATAAAAATCAACGCCTATTGAAGGACCTTAAAAAAATTAAGGTCCTTTAAAAATCCACACTATTTAAAGTCCTGAAAATTATTCATAAAAAACCAAGCCTACTACTGGGTCTTGAAAAATATATATTTTTTTTAATACATACCTTTTATAAGAACTTTTTTTTTTAAATATCCACATCATTTAGTGTTTTTCGAAAAATGTTTATAAGAAATACACTCCTTTTATAGGTGCTTGAAATATTGTTCTTTATAAAGTCCACGCTTATTTTGGGTGCTGGAATAAGTTTAAGCTTTTTTTTTAATTCCATACTTCTTTTGCAAATATATGTTCAATAAAATCAAGACCTTGTTCGGCTCCTTAGTAAAAAATATGTATTGGTCCTTGAAAAATATTTTTTAAATCCTCATCTTGTATAGTCCTTAAAAAAATATTTTTAAAAAATCTTCGACATGTATTGTCTTTGACGGTCCTTAACAGTCCTTGAAAAAATATTCTTTAAAAAATCCTCAACATGTATTGGTCCTTGATGGTCCTTAATAGTCCTTGAAAAATATTTTTAAAAAATCCCCATCATGTATTGGTTCTTAATAGTCCTTGAAAATATATTTTTAAAAAATCCTCAACATGTATTGGTCCTTGATTTATTTTTTAAATCCTCACATTGTATTGACCCTTAAAAAAATATTCTTAAAGATGTACGCCTTAATAGTCCTTGAAAAAATATTTTTAAAAAATCCTCAACATGTATTGGTCCTAGATGGTCCATATTAGTCCTTGAAAAAATATTTTTAAAAAATCCTCAATATGTATCCTTAAGTCCTTGATGGTCCTTAATAGTCCTTGAAAAAATATTTTTAAAAAATCCTCAACATATATTGGTCCTTGATGGTCCTTAATTAATAGTCCTTGAAAACATATTTTTAAAAATTCCTCAAAATGTATTGGTACTTAGTAGTCCTTGAACAAATATTTTTAAAAATCCTCAATATGTATTGGTCCTTGATGGTCCTTAGTAGTCCTTGAAAAAATATTCGTTAAAAAATCCACGCGTTGTATGGATGCTAGAAAAAATATTCTTTAAAAAATCCACGCCTTTTTAGAGCCTTGAACAAATATTCTGTAAAAAATCCACCCATTGTTAGAGCCTTGAAAAAATATTCATTAAAAAATTCACGCCAAAAATTTGAAAATGAAATAAAATCCATTTTTATGTTTTTTTTATTTAAATAATGTTTTTTTATTGATTTTTTTTGAAGCATTTTATAGTTTTATTAAAAAAAGAACTTACATGACACACGACCATACAATATTAATTAAAAATGAAAATTAAATGGAAATTATATATATTTATTATTTTTGTTTTTTTTTTATTTATTTTTCTTTAGAACTTACACATTTAAGTTGTTGTTGAAAATACAAAAATAAAGAAAGAGGGGGAATAATGTGTTATTTTCTTCTTATTAAAATAATATATATGGAAATAATAATATGAATAATAAAAAATATATAAAATAAAATATGTTATTGAGTTTTTAAAAAAAGCAGCCAGGCCAAATATTATATTCAATACAATCTCTTTTTTCCTTTTCTTCTCTTTTTTTAAGGGGGAGTTTGGAAATAATACTTGAAAAATTCTCATTTTTTATGTAATTAGATTAATAAAAAATTGGGAATAAATTAATAAAAAATTGGAAAAGAATGGAAAACAAACAACAAACATAAAAACGGAAAATATATATTTTTTATAAATACTCGTTTTACACAGCTTAACGACAATGTATGATGATGGTTATTTGTTGTTTTTTTTTGCCTATTACGGTTTTATTATTTATCTAAATAAAGCATTGATGTACTTGTTTTTATTTTCTCAGAATCACCCTGTTGTGTGAACAGTTGTTGAACAATACTTTCAGTAACAGGGTTATTCATCAATACAAATTTAATGATTGGGGGTGTAAAATGTGTGTGTGGTGTTGTGGTTAAGTGTCAGTGTGTTGTGAGTTGTTGTTGTCTAATGTTCGCTTTGGAATTTGGTAATTAATTTTTGTTCTCAATAAAATCTTTGACAAAATTTGTTTGCAAAATAATACTAAGTAAGTTATTTTTTTGTTTGTTATATATTTATATATGAAATTAAGTGCAAAACTATATAAATTTTTGTAAGGTAGAGGGGGGGGCGAACATTTTTTAGGTTTTTTCTTCAACGCTTTATTTTTTATTTGATATCAAAAGCGTACAATTTTTGTTTGTTTGTTGTTTAAATATCAGCTGTTTACTTATTTGTTATAATGAGTTTTTTGTTTTGTTGTTTTTTATAATAATAGGTTAATGAAAAATATAATTAGTATTTATTTGTTGTTGTTTTTTGTTTCCTTCTTTTTTATTATTATTATTTGTGTTTTGTAATAATTTTTGTTTAATAGTAAAGAGAGAGAGGGGGATTATATGCGTTTTTTCCATTGTTGTTGTTTTTGAGTATATAGTTTTGTTTTAAACGGATTCCATTTATTATTTTCTGTTTAGCAGTTTAATGATTTGAAAACTTATTTTTTATTGTTTTTTTTTTCTGGAAATCATTGAAAAATCAATTTCAAAATTGATTTTCCATATGAAAAAAATTTTCTCCTCTAATCTTGTTTTGAAGTTGGTTTTTCTTCATGTTGTTTGTTGTTATATTTTGAAGCGCAGTATATTTCTTATAGTGCTGTGTTGTTGTTAGTTTTTTTTATTGTTTTTGTTTTCTTATTTCATTTTTTATTAAATATTCTTCGTTTTTATTCATTTGAGTAGTGCTTTTTATTAGTTGCCGTTGTGGTATTCTGCTGCTGCTGCTGTTGCTACATGTTGCTCTGCGGGTCTAGTCTTCTAGCCAGATGAGGCAATGGGTGCTGCATTATCTTCGCACAATGGCTGCTGGGCGGCTGCCTTATTTTGACGTACCAATTCAGCCCGGCGTTCCTAGAGATTTTTTTGGATAAAAAGGGAGAGATAGAGGGAGAATATTAAAATCATTATTAATTAGAAGGATAGACATAAGAGATGTACATTTTTTGTAGATAAAAAAGAAATCTGTTGATAACTGCAAAGGAAAAAATTAAAAAAAAATAAAATCAATTCTCTTTTCGAAAAAAGGTCTGAAGGTCTTCTTATTAGATGAGCTGAATGTCTTCTTAGTGGAAGAGCTGATGTTCTTCTTATAGAAGGTCGCCTTTTAGAAGATCTAAATTTCTTCTTATAGAAGAAGAGTTGATGGTTTTCTTGCAGAATATCTGATGGTCTGCTTATAGAAGGGCAATTCTAAAACTGGTGTAGGAGATTAATAATTCTCAACTCTTAAAATCTCCTGGTATAATTCCAACGAACGGATCAGGTCTTAGTCGTGATAAAGTAGATTTTTAGAGCTTGCTTAAGAATATATTTCATACTAAGTTTGTGGAGTCAGGTAAAGATGTATTTCATTTCGGGAAACATATTCTCTCTTCCTTCAAACTGTACACAAGGGAAAGATTACAGGACCTTGACATGAAAAATTCCTTAGATCTTAATAAAATCAGAAATTTGCAGTACACCTATATGAACGGAAAATCAGTCCAATTACGGTATTGGTTGTATTGAGAATAATTTTAACACTAGAAAGACGGGAATTTTGTATATACCTATATTGCCTAAAATCGGTCAAAATGACTTCATTCTGAAAAATTTTTTATTGTGTAAAGAATTTTTTTTAAACTTTTTTTTTAATATTTGTTACATTATTTACAATCATACAAAACGTTGTTATTATTTGTTTTCTGTGGTAGGGCTCTCGGGTTTCCCCTTTTGAAAAATAAGAGCGCGGACAAAACGTTGGAAAAAAGAGGAAGACTTTACTCTAAGAGTGAAATCGACTGGAAATATAAAATTAATTTTTCCCGATTTGTGTGTTCGTATGTGTTTCTAGAGTAGCAAACGGGTTTCGATGTTGTTGTACCGATCTGGTCATATAAGAAATTTACTTTATACAGTAATAAAAGTAGTTTGATTATTTAATATTTCAAAAAGGTCAAAATGACCGCTTTTAGGCTATTTAGGTATAGCACATGTGAATACGGGGAATGAAAGAGGGGAGGAAGCAGCTACTATGATTAATAAACGTAGTTCTATGTGGTAGAAAAAGTCACCAAATTTTAAAAAGCTGAGTCATAATATACACAATTGTTTTTGTACTTGAAATTTAAAAACCGTCAAAATGACTGCTCTCGGCAATCTAGTGTTAATAGCCTCAGTTATAATAAGTGTAAGTGTCAGAGAAATAATGTTTATGCTTGATTCAATCTGGTTCTGGTCTTGTCTCCAAGAAACGCAGAAATGCAGCTACTTCCACAGGCTGCAGCCACAGACCGTCTGGAGTATGTTGAGTAGGCTTGGTAAGGTAATTGAATACGTGCAGTTTGGAGTGTGGGCCTATGCCATTCTGGGCAGAAATTCTGCGTACGTTATCGTTAATCCTCGCCCAAGACGACTCAGCAGCCCGAACGTAATTTTGACAAAACTATTCTGGTTTGTCCGGGCAGTTGACGTCCTTCAGCTGCGCGGTGGGGTGATCTACGAGGCCGTTATTCTCTCGGAATTCATTCATGTACATGCTTTCTGACACGCCTGGGTGGAGGAGTTTTATTCACAATTTGATGGATGGTAGATGGTGCACAGAGATCAGAGAAGGCACACTGTTGCAGATTTGACTGTGTATCGCTTACATTCGCAAACCACACTGACGCCGCATAGCTTTGCAGGAGGTCAGCAATGATTTGTTTTTCAGCACCCTAAGAGCTGCAAGTCAATGACTTGAGGACCTTTTTCCCCTTCCAGCTTATCGCAAATAGCGTTGACTTGCGTGAATTATTTGAAAAGACTGTCGAACGTTACGGACAACTACCCCTGGTTGTTGGAATCTGCTCTCCGTCGAAAAATCATGTTCAGCGAGAGCATCATTTCAGCTGTCCAGGTGGTGAACAGACTTGCTGCGAATATCTTCATATTCCTGATCTAAATGTCGTCTGGGGCGGAAATGCAGAGGTTTAAGCATATCCTGTGATATCATCCCACCCCTTCTTCGTCGGTTTTTCTTTTCGACTTCTTATTCCGGAGCACCACGTGTGAATGGCTTCCTCACATATAACTGGCAATCCAACGTTTCAAACTTGTGCGGAGGGAAATTTCTCAGTGTGCTCAGAAGGTTGGCATAATTGGCGGTATCAAAGAATTTAAATACGTTATGCGCTATGGCACGGTCAGTTCTGGTTTATTCCTCGATTTATGTGTGTGGAGATGGCAATGCTGTTGAATGCGAAACAAATGATGATGATCCGCAATTGAATTGCTTTCCCTAACGCTGGGGAGGAGTAATGTCTCAAGAGCCTTCGCTACTTGTGACAAAAGTTAGATAAGTATGTATTGCCTGCCTTCAGTAGCGGAGCCATCCTGCCTTAACAATTGATATGAAATCAATTTTAGTTCTCAATAGATTGGACCCCAACAACTAGGTTGACCACTTAGTGTTGGGGTATTGTACGTTTAATCAGCAGGATTAAGTGATATGTTATCAATGTTTGTGTGGTGACAAAAGTGAGATCGGTATATATTGGTTTCAGTAGCGGGACCACATCTACGTATTGTCCAGGCTTCGGGAACGAATTTGTTGGCTATCGACAAATTGAAGACCTTAGTCATATACTCAAATCCTGGCCGCTGTTGCAGCATTGTCATTAAAATTCCGTCAGGGCCAATGCTTTAGATAATTTGATGTTGTTGTTGTAGCAGCTAGTACTGCTGTGTATTTCCAATTTTCTTTAATCTGGTTCTGCCTCTAACTCCAAATTCAGAAAGGCTGCGACCTGTACAGGTTGAGTCCAGAGAGAAGATGGGGTTAGGAGAGTGGGCTAAGCTAGATGCCGTGAGGAACATACAGACACAACCTCTAAATCCTTCTAACACATATTTTTAAGATTCTATTAAAAACTCCGGCTTGATAATTACCTATTTTGTATCGTAAAACCCTAAACCATTGGTTTCATATTAAAGACTTGAACTTAGCGTTTTAAAAATCAAAACTTTTTGATTTTGAAAATCAATGCTTTAAAATTTGATTTCGAAACATATTCGTCATAGGGAATAGAATTATCAACAGAATTCATTTTTATATATACACTCATAGAAAAAATAAGTAACACAGCTATATTATAAAAAAATTGGCAACGCGATGACGACTTAATGTTATGATGATTGTTTTTTTTACAAATTACAAAAAACAAAAAATAACAAAAAGCCATGATTTTTTTAAAAAACAAATGATATGTCAAACACATAATACTTATAATAGACATTAATGAAAAGAGGAAGAAAAAACGCAATGAAACCTACGAGCTTATGAACTTTTTCAATTTTCTTTTGTATCTCCTTTTCACGATTTTGTTCAGCGGTATATAATTTATTTTCAATAATGCGGGCCTTCTCCTCGATTTTTTGTGATTCCAATTGATCAATTTGATTTTTGATTTCGGCAATTTTGACAGTGTTCTATATATATAGAATATATAAAAAAATATTTAATTTAAGTTATAAATATGAATATAGGAAGGAAAGAAATGAAATGAATGGAAAATAGATGGAAAAGAAAACATAAAAGTGAAAGAAATATAATGAAATGAGTGAATAAAGAATTTCATCGAATATATTTACAATGTGTAAAGATGTGAGATGAAAGGGAGGGAAAATATGAGTGATTTAAAATGGGAAAACTGCGTGGAAAGAAAATATGTTGTAAGCGTAAAAATAGTGTACAAGGATAATATAATAATGTAATGAATTCATCAGCTGAACCTAAGGAATATGTTTGAAATTTATGCCTGGAGAAATATAATACGATTAATAAAAATCAATCAAATTTTGTTCTCAATAAAATGTATCCATCTATTTTGTTATTATGTGATTATAGTTATATATCATCAAAGATTTAAGCCAAAGGCATTGGGATTGTTTGGCAATAAAACTACATATAAAAGGCCAACAACGGAGAGGCTATTACTCAGCATTATCCATTGATATAAAATCAACTTTTGTTCTCAATAAATTTATACCCCCAACACTTCTAAGACATTCCTTAACTGGAAGATGCGCCTTGCCGTCCTCTGAAAAAGTTTTATTGGGAAAAATCCGCACTTTTCCAATGACTTCGTCCATTGTCATAAGAGTTTTATAATAAATTTCCTTGATATTATTTTTATCCGGAAAATGGAAAGGATTATTCGATGGTCTAGCGATATTCTGGTCTCAAGAGAAGGAGGGAGATTCATTGACTACGTAGTAGCATCCCTAGGTTTTTCAGAAGATTCAGAGGAAGAATTCATCCTTCTTTCTGATCATCCATATTCGAAACATTTTTGAGCAGTTTCTTCAGAGACCTTTTTTTAACCCGAAGAGGGGCCTTGTGATTCACTGCAAGAGGTTTTATGGGAAACAGGGTTTAAAATGCAGCATCAAAAAATTTTAGCTTTAGCTCTAAAGTGCTACTGCTAAAAAATATTGGCATTATGACTAAATTAGCAAACGGCTAGCTTTTTTAGTTTGTTGCATTCGTGCTAAGCACGTATTTCACATGCGAGCTTTTTTTGTTATGAATAATCGGCAGTACGACTACATATTCATATTTCGCTGCCGACGAATAATCAGCCGATAGTTGTTTTTATGTTTGTGTGTTACCAACGCACAAATTAGAAAAAAAGGCAATTCATTTTGTGTGTTGTTATTTAATTTAAACATGTCAAATCGCAATTAAAAACTGTCAATAATAGTACTAAAAACTAACTTATATATTAAATAAAAACCTTTAGCAAGTATTAATAATTGTCATTGTTCGAAAAAATTAAATTATCATAATCGCGATTTTTAATTATCTCATACAATTTATATAATTTCAATGGACAACACTGAAATCGAAAAATGCTCGGGTTTTGTTTGCTAAAAATCTTGCTTAGCAGCCATAGTCAAGGTGCTTAGTCTTCATTGTAAGCTTTGGTTGTTAGTCGCGTTGACAATTATGTTGTAGTTGATCATTGCTATTTTGTAGTGCTGACAAAATCAAGAAGCTTTAGTTTTGTTTGCTAAAATTATTCGTAATGTATTGCTATTTGTTGCAGTTGTGATTGGCTGTGCTGCATATTTTGAGGATGAATTTAGTTAGCAGTGCGGCAATTTTCTGTGTTTTTGCTATTTTGGCGTTAGCATTTTAAACCCTGATGGGAAATAATCTTTACTTTTTCAATGACTCCGTCCACTTTCAAAAGAATTACCCTTGAAAATATTTTTATCCGGAGGATGGAAAGGATCGATGTTCTAGCGACATTCTGGTCTCTAGTAGAATTGACGTAATTTTAAATTAGAGATAGAAATTCATTGAATACATAAAAGCATCCCCAGACTTTTAAGAAGATTCAGCGGACGGGTTTATGATTTATTTTGTCATCCATAGTCAAGGGGCCCTCCTGAAAAGTTTCTTTGAATAATCTTGGCTCAGGCTCAGAGACACCATACAAATATTGTTATGTTTTCTAGAAGATTCCTGGACCTGCTTCACTTTGCTTCAGATATTATGGAGCGTCTCAAAAGATTCTCAGAAAAGTTTCTTTGACAATCCGAAACTCATCGCTGAAGACCAAATGCTAATTATGGACTGGGCCGTAAGGTTCAAAAAAATCAATTTTTGTTCTCAATAAATTTATTACCAAATAAAATCTTATAAGCGCAACTTGGCTACGAAGTGAATGCCGAAGACCAAACGTTAATTTTGCCTGAGTTTAAATCCAAAACAGAGCGATAGCATTATATCACAACATCGACACCTCCTGGATATTTTTGAAAAAGAGAATTAAACTAGGATTATACCAGGGAACCTGTCGCAATATTAATGGAAAATATGTAATAAAACTTCGACTGATCAACACGAAACAATAAATTCTTGTTCTCAATAAATTTCATCATATAGAGGCGAATAAGCTTGGCTCAGACTCAGAGACACCATAGAAATATCGTTAGGTTTTCTAGAAGAATCATGTAGCTGATTCACTTTGCTTAGATATTCTGGAGGGTCTCAAAGGATTCTCAGAACAGTTTGCTTTCAACATAAATGGGTTCATGTCATTATTGTCTTCCTGAGATCTCATCCTTATTCAAAGAAAAATATTAGGATTCTATAAAGCGGTTCTTCTGGGAAAGTCTTTAATTGAAGTATAGGCTGGCTTGATTTATATTTATCTCATCTAACTACCGAAAAGTCAAAATCAATCGCGCCCATTTTTTAAAAATTTTGTCATCTGAAATGAAATTCGAGATTTAAGCATATGGAATGGATGCTTAAATCTCGACTTTCATTTTTTATCTCTCTATATTCATTACACTTCTCATATATTATCCTTGTACCTTAGATTGTGTGCAAAATAAGGTGCTTCAGTTTAATATGGGGAAACTTAAAATTATGGTTAGCTTAAAATAAAATAAAAAATTTTGGATATTTACAAAGAAAACTAAATTCGAAAAAAGATTAATTAGAAAAAAATGTTATAAACAATGACACAATGGTATGGTGCGATTTTGAGGTGCCTAACATAAGACTCATTTTCATAAATTCGAAGACTAACTGAAATCAAACAATACTTACATGTTCCTTTAGGCGTTCCAACATTTTCTTGATATTTTCATCGCGCAAAGTTTGAGCGGTCTTAAGTTTCTCTTCAATGGCAATTTTCTCAATGTATTTCTGTTGTTCCAATTGTTCTCGAGTTTTTTCAATTTCTTGAGAGTGAATCTATAAGAAAAATTAACATATTAATAAAATGTTCCACGGAAAATTAGAATTTATTTCAATTATGCAATTCAATTTTGAACCTTAAAATTTAGATATTCCAAGTTGTCTAATGTATTAGAAATATGCCCAGTTACGTACCTTCAATTTCTCTTTCAAATCACTAATAATGGCCTCGCGCTTTTCAACATGTTGCTCCATTTTCGATTCCAATTGTTCCTTGGTCTGATTGATGAATTCATTGGTGATTTCATCCTTTTTGCGTGTGGCTTCTTCGATTTTGGCCAGCTTATAAGTTAAATCGGCCATTTTCTTTTGTTCCAAAGACTAGACGAATGGAAATTTATATTTTTAGAGATCAACATTTTCAAAATAAGGAATATGACTACTTACAATACGTCTTTCTTCGGCGGCCTTCAATTTCTGCTCAATTTCTTCGGCTGAGACATTTTTGCCAGGTGTTACTGGCTTCTTGGGTATGGTTACATTGGGTGCTGGCTCAGCCAGAATTACCTCATAACTCAAGCCACCGCGTGATTTTTCCTGGCAGCGAATCTCAGTGGCTGAAATGGGAGAGAGAGAAATAAAAGTTAGAGAATAATGTTAAAATAATTAAATGTGTTATTTTATAAAAAAAAAATAATGAGAAATATAACATCTGGAAGAGGTGAAGAAAATATTCAAATACAAATAATCAATTTTTGTTCTCAATAAATTTATTCTCATAAATATTATATTTAAAGTCATTGCCAACCACATCGAAATCAACACAATACGGTTATGGCTTCTTTGTCAAACCAAAACTCATCGCTGAAAACCAAATGCTAATTATGCCCTGGGCCTTTGATTTTAACAGGGTAACTCAGAGGACACGGGAAAAATGAATCAAACTTCTATAAGGGCATACTATGAGCCCTGCACTACGCATGTGGCCAATAAATTTATAAGCCCAATGTTACCATGAGAAAATATATAATAAAGTTTCGACTGATCAACACAAAGCAGTCAATTTTTGTTCTCAATAAATTTCATCATAAGCTTCTTCAACTATTATAGAAACAACTATATGTTAGGCCCGATTTTTGCCAAAAAAAAAAATTTATATTTCGACTGATCAACACAAAGCAGTCAATTTTTGTTCTCAATAAATTTCATCATAAACTTTTACAAATATTATAGAAACAACTATATGTTAGGCCTGACTTTTGCCGAAAACAAAATCTATATATTAAAAATATTTTAATTCTTGCCAGACCCCTTTTATATAGAATTTCTCTCCGAAACTGAGTAAGAAGGAATTTTGGCGTGATCCACATAATCAATACAAAGCAATAAATTTTTGTTCTCAATAAATTTATTCATATATACGGATTTTAAAATGATATTTACTATAAAAATCCACTTCTTGTTGCTGACCCCTTATTGACTATCCTAAAAATATTTGTTAAGAACTCACGCCTTGTTGATGACCCCTAAACTGCATGGCTGATGACCCTTACAAATATTTGTAAAAAAACTAGCCCTTAAAAATATTTTTTAAAAAATCCATGTCTTGTTTAAGTTCTGAAAAGAAGTCTACATAATTAAAATATTTATTCATCCTGATAAGTATCCGACAACAAACTAAGAAAATGATGAGCCAACTCTAAAATTATCCTGCCAATGCCTTTTATAACTTAACTTCTATAAAAGCCAGGATTTTGAACCAGTTTCACTCTTTCCTCCCAATTGAATTGAAAAATCAAAACAATCAACTTTTGTTCTCAATAAAAGATTTACAAAAAACATATTTATTAAATTTTTTTGTTAATTCAAAGTTCGCCTCAATTTTTTTGGCAAGTCTTTCAAGTTACCGCACTACAAATTTCACGATTCATTTCCATAACATTAATTTTCCACACACACAAAAAATGGATAGGAACATTTGTTTTTGAGAGGACCAAAAAATGCGAAGAGCATTTAAAAAATCGCATGAATATGTTTTTGAGGATCTGTTGTTGTTTTTTATTTAGTATGGCCATTAATCACTGTTTGCTGACCAACAACTGCCGAGTATTAACAAAAAAGAACTGGAAAACTCATTTTTACAAATAGCTGGCTTGGAAACAGATGAATAATTTCGCCATGCACTTTAAATTGTGCGTTTATATGGCATTTCATAAAGCATTTTTCAAAAATTCATGGGCAGAAGTTGAAAAGCTGGGATGTGAATGGGAATGAAATAAAAGTTTGAATGAAGATATGAAATTCTGAAAATATGAATCCGAAAATGACAAAAAAAAAAATATTTGTGATATTATCCTCGCTATCGCATTTACGGTATTGAAGGCTGAAAACTCCCAAAGGGAAAATATTGTCATCAAGAACAGGTGTTTTCTGACGAGTGGTCATTGGCATTCCAATAATCAGTCTCTACAGGGTCACATTTTTAAAAGGAATTTTTTAAAACAATTAATTTTTGTTCTCAATAAAATTTAGTTAAACAAATGTATATATATGTATTATATATATATATATGATTGAGATTGGTGTTGAGAGTTTTTCTCTCTTGAGAGTAATTAGAGTTGCGCTATTTTTAATTTTGTAATAAGCGTACTTTTTGTTCACAAAAGGTACGAAATGATATAAACGTACCAAAACAAAAAGTAGATTTTTTATTATTCGTGAATACATTTACGCTTAAATTATAACATATATTATTTAAGCAAATAACTTCTATAAATATTGGCAAATATTTCAAATATTTACCTTTTCGTACTTTTTTGTTCCCACCTGTGGCAATGTTTTCCAACTCCACCAATGAGAGAGAAAAAAAAACTCTCAACACCAATCCCAATCACAACAGTGTAAAACCACGCTTTTTGGTATCAATTCTTGTTCTCAAAAAAATCAACGACTATCCTGGAGCGATTTTTGTAAAAATATCTTTAGGAGCCATTCTGGCGTGGTTTTTATAAATAAAATATTTGTTGGAGCCATTCTTTTATGGTTTTTAGAAATAAAATAGGATCCATACAAGGTGTGGTTTCTATAAATAAAATATTTCAGAAGGCCATCCAGGCGTGGATTTTATAAAGAAAATATTTCAGAAGACCATCCAGACGTGTTTTTCGTAAATGAAATATTTCAGAAGACCATCCAGGAGTGTTTTTTTTAATGAAATATTTCAGAAGACCATCCAGGCGTGGTTTTTATAAAGAAAATATTTCAGAAGACCATTCAGGCGTGGTTTTTATAAATAAAATAATTAAGAAGACCATCCATGTGTGGTTTTTGTAAATAAAATAATTCAGAAGACCATCCAGGCGTGGTTTTTATAAATAAAAAATATTTCAGAAGACCATCCAGGCGTGGTTTTATAAATAAAAAATATTCCAGAAGACCATCCAGGCGTGGTTTTATATATAAAAAATATTCCAGAAGACCATCCAGGCGTGGTTTTATAAATAAAAAATATTTCAGAAGACCATCCAGGCGTGGTTTTATATATAAAAAATATTTCAGAAGACCACCCAGGCGTGGTTTTCATAAATAAAAAAATTCGGAAGACCATCCAGGCGTGGTTTTTATAAATAAAATATTTCAGAAGACCATACAGGTGTGTTTTTATGAAGAAAATATTTCACAAGACCATCCAGGCGTGGTTTTTATAATGGAAATATTTCACAAGACCATCCAGGCGTGGTTTTTAAAAAGGAAATTTTTCACAAGACCATCCAGGCGTGGTTTTTGTAAAGAAAATATTTCAGAAGACCATCCAGGCGTGGTTTTTATAAAGAAAATATTTCAGAAGACCATCCAGACGTGGTTTTTATAAAGAAAATATTTCAGAAGACCATCCAGGTGTGATTTTTATAAAGAAAATATTTCAGAAGACCACCCAGACGTGGTTTTTATAAAGAAAATATTTCAGAAGACCATCCAGGCGTGGTTTTTGTAAATAAAGTATTTAATAAGACAATTCAGGCGTGATTTTTGTAAATGAAATATTTCACAAGGCCATCGGCGTGATTTTTGTAAATAATGTAATTTTGTAAATGAAATATTACAGAATATCCATTCTTATAATATTCATTATTATAAAACAATTAATTTTTGTTCTCAATAAATTTTAATAGATAACATGAACATTTTATTTATATATCACCCTGTTATAGCTCTGTCAAAACGATCCAAATCTTATAAAATAAAATGATATGTGTGACACCCTGTTAATTCTGTCATTTAAATAACTGACTTGTATCATTAATACATAACAATCAATTCTTGTTCTCAATAAAAATTTACTTCATTATTTTTTTAATGTTTTCCATGTTAACACCACATATAGTCTGCTTTAACACGAAAATGCTTTTACTGATGATTTGGACAACAACAAAAAAACCTTGTGGTATTGCGAACATTTTCTCATTCATATAATATTCTTCTATTTTTTTCATCCAACTTTAATGACCTAAAATCCTAAAAATTTAAAACAAAGAACAAAAATTATAAAAAAATAGTAGTGAGAATAGAATCATTCAAATGTATTTTAATGTATAGAAATTATTGTGGTTGGTATTTAAAATTTTAGCTTTTAAAAAAGTTAAAAAAAGTTTTGTTCATTTAGTTTCTTCTAACCACGCGTTCAACAGAGTGTGAAGGTATTTGGGAGGGAAATTATAGCAAAAAAGTTTTCTATATTTATTATAAATGTTAATGAGTTGAAATGTTGTTGAGTTTTATTTCTTTTTTTGGATTTTTATTCCATGCTGCCATAGAATATTAGTGAAGTGCAAAAATTGCAACTAACATCCATATAAAAGTTTTAAGGACAATGGAGGAGGAATACAAGTTTTTGAAGTTATGGAATGTATATGGTGGCAGGTGGTTGTAATTGTTATGGGATAGAAAATTAAAACAAAGTTTAAAAACTACAGTAATAAGTTTTTGTTTGGAGTATAGGTGGTATTAGAAGTGTAAAATAGTTACATTCGATTTTAATGAAGACGACTGTACCGAATTTTTAATCGGCAATTGTGGCATACAAATAAGACAATAAATTTTTGTTCCCAATAAATTTATAAAAATATTTTTCAGGTAGCAAAAATCCGTAAATTTTTAAATATATATTTTTTGTAGCCAATAAAGTTTGGATTTTTAAAAATATATTTTTTTTTCAATTAGCCAACAAGGCGTAGATTTTTAAAAATATATTTTTTGGTAGCCAATAAGGTTTGGATTTAAAAAATATTTTTTTTTTTCAATTAGCCAACAAGGCGTAGATTTTTAAAAATATATTTTTTCAAGTAGCCAACAAGACGCACATTTTAAAGAATATATTTTTTCAAGTAGCCAACAAGGCGTATATTTTTAAGGGCCGTATTTTAAATTGGAAATTGTTATATAAAATATGATCAATTTTTGTTCTCAATAAATATATTGAAATATTTTTCTTTCAAAAAGCCAATAAGGCGTAGATTTTTTATACTATTATAAGGCCCGTCTTTGTAATTGTGGATCAAACCATAAACAAATCAATTCTTGTTCTCAATAAATATAAAACAATTTTTGAAGAAACTGA